TAAGTGATGTAAAGTTTCCTTTTAAAAGCAAATTTAATAAATAAGGCCAATTTGAAAAAATACGTGCCATTAGGATTGTTTAGGTAGCACTACGATGACAGCAAATGTGGCAAAAATCCTCCATGTGCTTTGCCGATTACTAAGATGTTATTAAAATGTACAGCATGGGAGACAGGAAGAAGGTTAGAGAAGTGTCTATTTCCTTGAATAAGAATCAAAGTCAAGGACATTTTGCCTTACTAGGGTCCTTTTCACCGAACAGGGACTCTCCTAACAGACGGGAGACTTGTGTAACTGTCACACCCACAGCGAGGGATGGTCTTGTAAAAGGCACGATCTCCTTCTTTGCTCTCAGGCTCCCTTCTACCAGGAAATGCTTCGTTTTTTACGCCTTCCCTACATTGACAGCTCTTGCGCGCCCGCACCGTCAGGACGTGCTTCACGCGGAGTAGAACAAGCAGCTGCCCTTTCCGCCCAGGAACGGGACCGGGTCCAAATACCACGCTGCTCTCAGACCGCCACGCCTGACCTGACCCGCCTGGGTCCTAGCGAAATGCAGCATGCACAGAGAGGACGTCTTCACCCAGGGAAAGGAGCCTTCTCCACTGAGGAGCACCATTATATTAATACCAAAGGAAGCAAGGGCCAGGAGAGGGGGCATTAAGTAGAAAGGCAAACAGAAAAATCACAGACAAAGTCCCGCAAGGGGACAAAGCTGGCTCTGCAACACTGGAAAAATAGAGGAGAATCTTTTAAGAGAAAATTACATGCAATTTTTTAGCCTCAATTAGCCTTTTTTCACAAAGAGCACTCTTCTGCGAGGACCCCATTAAATAGCAAATGAAATTACATCCGTTTTCAGTTGCCATGACATCGGGTTTTCCATTAATGGACGTTGCGGGTCGGAAGTTTTGTGTTAGCTGACTTACTGCCCCGGTCCCTGTGCTTTCTCCACTCTTTCTGCGCAGACGTGAAGAGCCAGATAGCCGTCCTTCTCGCACAAGGCCTATGACTGCATCGCAAAGAGAAAAGTCAGCCCTCGGCTATCTCCCCAGAGACCGAAAGGATAAAACTGATCAACAGTAACATTGCATGAACCTTGAACTTAACAGTTTCTTTGTAGTAGATGGAAGCAGGTCCCATCCATGCATTCAAGGGCTTCTGGAGCCATTCACACCCCTTCTCTATGTCAAACCTTGACCGAGAAGCTGAATGTGAAACTATGATCTACTCTAAACTTTCTCTTAATTCACAGTTTTAAAGTTTGGTTTTTTGAAACATGCAAAAGAAAGATGCAAGGTGCCCTCAAGGTTGGGTTTCCAGACGAGACACAGCCCTCCAAACCTTTGCCTTCTTATCAAGCTTTACTCCATTGTCGGCTTGTTTAGTATTTGACAGAATGCCCGGTACCACACTTAAAATAAACATGTATTTTTCTAGGAACAAGGATCTTAAAATATATTTTTCCTTTAAAAAAGTGAATTAGCTCTAGGTAAGTATTAGCCATGACATCATGCTGACGTTGGTCAAGCAGATGTTATTTTCAGATGGGTAGGTATGCTCACACTTGCGGGTAAGTGAACAAGGTATTGCTACTGGGGTTGCCATTCATATCTGCAGGGATTTGTCCTAAATGAAACCTGTCCAAGCACGTCTCTGCCATCAGTCAAGGGCTGCAGACAAGTTCTCTCTAAACGCAATCGTTAGTCTCATTAGGGTACCTTCGAAAAAGATTCCATCTAAACAGAGGCTTCGGGGACTGTCAAATTCAAGACAGAGACATCTGCTCAGAAGGTCATGATGACTATTTTGGGAATCCCAACGGAGTGATCTTGATAGAGTTTCATATAAGGCACAAGACTATCACAGAGCTTATTAAAAAGATTTAGGAAAACTGCATTTGTGAGAGAAACACTGGGAAAATTGCTCCAAGGAATTTTTGCCCATCACAACAAGCTAGTCATTCCTTGCAATGGGAAGGCCCTGAAAAAGAGGCACGCCTGCAACGAGATGGACTGAAATGGTGGCTGCGACCACGGGCTCCAACAGAGTGAGAAAGCCCAAGCAGGGCTTTGTTCTGTGGTTCTTGGGCTCCCTGTGAGTCAGAACCCACTGGATGGCACCTAATAACAGGAACATGGTATCCATACCTTGTTAGTTATCCTCATACTTTGTATATATAAAACATACATATAAATATATATATTATATATACACATATAAAATACTTTCAATTTACCCATATATATACAGATATATATATATTTTATATATATATTTTAATTGGCATTTTAATTGGCATTTTGCTGATTACAAATGAGGGTGATCGTTATGTCATATATTTCTGCTTGCTGTTGCTGTTGTGTGAATCAGTTCCAGCTCATAGAAGTCAAGGACATAATTGAAAGAAGCAGTCCTCCGCCCGGCACTATTTTCTCAAGCATCTCTATGCCTGAGTCTATTGTGCAGACGCCCTATGCGTCCCTCACACAACGGGTCCTCCTCTTTGTTGCTGGCCCTTTACAAACATGGCTCTTTCTTCTGCAACGGATCCTTCCTGATGGCATGTGCAGAAATAAACCCACATAAAGCTAACTGATTTTTAATAAAGTTCCCAGGATAATTCAGTGGTGAAAGAACAGTCTTTTCAACAAATGCTACTGAAGCAACTGGTCACCCAAGTACAAAGAAAAATAAAAGATGAATCTTCATCAGTACTTCATATGATATGCAAAAATGTATGTTATCCTAGTAGTCAAAGATTTTCAGAGTATAAAAAGCACAAACCATATGAAAGAAATATTAATCAATTGAATCTACCAAAATTAAATACTTCTGCTCTTTGAAAGACATTGTGGGGGTGGGGGGCAAGGAAACTACATATCTCCTAAAGACCAGTATACAGAATATATACCGAATTCTCACATATCAATAGTAACATTTTAAAGTATATAAACAGACACATCTCCCAAATGGAGCCCTGGTGGCATAGTCATTATATGTTGCACTGCGATCTGCCTGGTTGGCAGTTCAAAACCAACCAACAGCAGCTCCTTTCTACTCCCATAAACAGCTACAGTCTCAGAAACCCACAGAGGATGACTGTGAGTCAGCACTGACTCGATGGCAGTGAGTGAGTAGATCTCCCAAATAGGTATATGACTGGCAAATGAAAAGACAAAAACATTCACAAAGACCTTAGTCACTAGGGAGGTTCAAGTTAAAGCCACATGAGCTATCATTATTTACCAATTAAAATGGCCCGAACCTGTATAAATCTTTTTTTAATGTGGCCTTCCTGAGTCCGGGCACCAAGGAGGAGCCCCTGGAACTGTTGCCCAGTGAGGGACAGGGACACACAGCCCCTTTGAAAGACGCTCAGAAAGTCCTTCTAAATCTACGTTCAACCCAGCAACCACTACTGTGCAGTTACAGAGAGAAATTTAAATTGTGTTCACACCAGACCAGAAGTAGGTGAACAGAAAACAATGTTACCTCTGCACAATGGACTACTCCTGAATGTTAAAAATATCCGATTAGCTGGTGCTTGCAACAACATGAATGAATCCTGAAAGCATTGTGTTAAGTGAGAGACAGCAGATGACAAAATGATTTTGGTGATAGGTTCATGTCTCAGTCAAAAATAGTGCACTTTACTGTAGGTTCCTTATCCCTAAATTTAACAATGTAAGACCCTAAACTCGCTGCCATCAAATCAATTCTGACTCGTGGTGAACCTCTAGGACAGGCCAGAACTGCCCCGGTAAGTTTTGAGGACCGTAGCTGGTTCTCAGAAGTAGAAAGCCTCGTTTTCTCCTGCAGAGCACCTGGTGGTTTCAAACTCTCGATCTTTCAGATCGAAGCCCAATAACCACTACACCACCAGGGCTCCGCTCCTAAATAAAGCCAGTTTAAAGGGGGGGAAAAGTTTCTCACAGACAAGCTTCTTCATCAATTTCCCCCATCTTAATAAATAATATCACTACGTCCTCATTCTGAGTTGCCAAGAATTTGACAATGATTTTTTAAAGATAAGGTATTACGAGTCTATGAAATCCAGGCTGGGCAAATCCACAGAGAGAGTAGCTGGATTCATGGTCTCTGGAGGCCGGGGCAGGGAAGGCTGGGGAGAAATGGGGAGCTAACGACAATGAGCACCAGAAAGAAAAAGTTCTCACATGGATGGCGGTGGCGATTGTACGACGCGTTCTCATATGAATTGCACGATGTGCGTATTGGATGTCAGGTGAACTATTTGTGAACTGGAAAGGAAAATGAATAAATAAAGCAGAATCCAGAAAGATGGATATTCCAGGCGTGAGTGAGCTGAAGAGGACCAGTGGTGGCCAAGTGGAAGGCGGCCTCGTGTGATGTGCCATGACATATTGAAGAGGAATGGCCTCACATTCAACATTAAACAGAAAACGTCACGATCTATCCAGATGTGGCACACTACCAGCGATAGGATACTATCTGCATATAATACATAAAATAAATAATATAATTTAGATGAAACATTAAAATGTAACTTATTATGATCGGTACTTATCTAGACAATGTTCTATGTGTGGGTCTATATAAAATGTATTTCTTTTAAACCATATTTATCGGTACTACCTAGAGGTAGTAAACCAGCCGCTGGCCGTTGTGGACTCTGACTCCCCGCACCCTTCTGTGCGACAGAGCTAAGCGTGGCTCTGCAACAGAGCTATCGAAGTCAAGGGCCAGTTCTTTCCGCCAAGGGACCTCTGGGTGAATTCACACTTCCAACCTTTTAGTTAGCATCCAAGCATATTCATCGGTTATACCAAGCCAGGAACTCCAAGCCATTTCATTAAACACAAAATGCCAGGTCTCCGGAAGAAGCATGCATGCGTGAGGAGACTTGCTACATTATCTGAAAGAAGTAAGGATCATCAAGGTTCAAAGCCAGGAGTATGTCAGCAGACAATCATGTCAGCTGCCGTCACATTCCATCACTGCCTTCCCTGAAGACTTACCTCTCCAAACCAATTGCTTGGCGCAGAGAATGGAGCTCGGAGTCGTGCAGAAGTGCAGAGCAGTGTGCCCGCTCAGGGAGAAGGCGTTCAGCTTTGCTCCGTGATCACAGAGAATCTTCACACACTCCACGTTGGCCGTTTCACAAGCCACGTGAAGAGGGGTTTTCCCGTTGGGTCTACAGTTGATTGTAGCGTTGTGGTCCAGAAGCACCAGAAGGCATTCCACGTGGCCATACAGGACAGAAAGATGCAGGCCCGTCGCCCAGGAAGATTTCAATTTATAACTAGGCAACCAATAGCCTGAAGAAGAAAAGGGAAAACAAAAATCAAACACTTCCTGTCTGTCTGGTAAGGGTTTTCACAGGGTTTTATTTTATTTCGGTCACATTTATAAAATTGGGAGGAAATGAATCAGAGGTTGTAAACTAGTAACTAACAGGCCTGCAAATATATATATATATATCCCCAAGTGGCATATTTGGATGAACTTAAATGGGTCCAATTCTGTCCAGTTCTCATTGTCTCTACTTTTCCTTGCAATGTTGTTAAGTGCTGTGGAGGTGGCTTGACATCAGGGTGAGCCAACAGAACAAAAAGTTGCCCTGTCCTCATGATGCCAGGGGTTTAAGTGGAGAGCAAATGTTTTGAGAATGATGAGGACAATGAATGTACAAATGTGCTGTACACAATTGATATATGTATGGATTGTGTTAAGAGTTGTATGAGCCCCTAATAAAAGTATTTTTTTAAAAAAAGAACTAATAAACCACGGGGAGTCAAAACTCTTTAAAAAAAAAAAAGTTGCCCTGTCCTATGGGCTCTTCACAATGTGTAGTACAATACCATCCTTTTATTTATGTCGTCTGATGAGTTCATATGTGATCATATGAGAGATTGCATTTTCACGCAGTTACACTTTTTAGAAATTATTCTAGCTCTCAAATGGAGTTTGTCTTGTATGACTCCTAAGCTGTTGGTTATCAGCTTGTGTTTTTTGTTCCAATATGACTACTCCTTATTGTTGTTATCACCCTCGGTTGTGGATGTGTTTAGCGGTTTTTCTTAATGCCATGCTAAGATTTTATTGGCCCGCCTGTTGGTTTATTTCTTTTCAAAAACAGAATTTAAGGCACCTCCTCAAATTCAGACAGCACAAGGTGCTGGTGGTGGTTGTTTTTAATTATCTAGAAAATAACGGCAATGGAAAAACTGGGAAAATCATAAGGGAGCAAAGGTCAGATAGCCCCACAAAGCACGGATTGTGTACTGTGCACTAGAACTGATGTCGAATTTGCCTTTGAATTTTCTAGCAGCCAACATGAAGAGGAAAAACATGATGTGCTGCACAATCAACCATCCCCACAAGCCAAACACAAATTAATCATCGCGAGACGCATAGCTGTTCTTAGAATGGAGATCTGAGATGAATCTCCCCATCAGCCATTGGAAATGTGCAAGCCCTTTCTTCTACCCCTCATCTCTTTCCTTCCTTCCTCTGACCTCTGACTTCTAGATAGTGAAATAGTTCTTTTTTTTTTGTAACAAGTCCCCAAAGGGTGGCCATATTTGAAAAACTATACCACTGATGGCTTTAGAAGGCTTATCTCAATGACAACATCGATAGCCGTGGAACTTAAGATCACTCTGAGTGGG